AGAGTCCACCACCCCCTCCTCTCTCTCTCACACCCTCTCCCTCTCAGAGTCGTCCCACGTGTGTCTCTCTGTACGAGAGCGAGCGAGTGAGTGAGCGAGTGAGAGAGCGAGTGAGGGAGCGAGTGAGTGAGGGAGCGAGTGAGTGAGAGCGCGAGTGAGGGAGTGAGTGAGAGAGCGAGTGAGTGATTGAGCGAATGAGGGAGTGAGTGAGAGAGTGAGAGAGCAAGTGAGCGAGAGAGCGAAATGCAGGGACTCCTGGAGGAAGCCGCCTTGGTGGATGTGTGGCGCATACATCACCCGGGCCAACGCCAGTTCACGTGCACGAGGACGAGGCGCGATGGCTCGGTGACGCAGTCCAGGCTCGACAGATTTTACGTCTCTAAGAGCTTTGTGACGTGCGCCATAACGCCTGGCATCAGGGCGGCGCCCTTCACGGACCACAGCCTCATCGTGCTCCGTGTCAGGCTGGAGAGGGCCCACCGTGAGGGGAGTGTCCCACTGGCACTCGCTGCTGGAGGATGGCGCCTTCTTAGAAATGTTCGAGGACTTTTTTGGAAGAGTGGCGTAAAACTAAAACGCAGTTCGACTCTCTGGCCCAGTGGTGGGATATGGGCAAAGTGCACACCAGGCTGTTGTGCCAACAATACACCTGGGGGAGCACCAGAATGAAGAATGCGGACATCACCGGCGTGGAAGCCCGAGTCCTCGATTTGGAGGGTCGCCTCGCCGAGGACAGCGACCCCCGCTCTTCTCCGAGAATACGAGAATAGGGAGCGTCTCAAAGGGCTACAGGAGGAGCAGACGCGGGGAGCGTTTGTGCGATCCCGGGCGAAGCTCATCACCGACCTCGACACGGGATCCCCGCTTTTCTACTCCCTCGGGAGGCAGAACGGGAGACGCAAATCCACGGAGTGCCTCTTTGATGGCGATGGTGTGCTGGCGCACGAACTCCGGCAGAAGTCGGCCGTCATCGGAGACTTCTGCGGCAGCCTGTTCTCTCCCCTGAAGAAACATCGGAAGCGGCCCAAGCGGAGGCAAGGAGCGGTCTGACCCACCCTGGGGGAAAACGGGAAAGAGCTGCCGGAGCAAAAGCTCACCGGGACTGACCTTGACGCAGCTGTAAGAGGACTGGCCCCAGATAAATCCCCAGGGTTAGACGGGCTAACAGGGGAGTGTTATGCCGCTTTTTGGCCATCCCTGCGGGAGGACCACAGAGAGGTGCTGGAGGAAGCCTCAGTCACCGGGGGTGATGCCTCAGTCTTGGAGGAGGGCGGTGCTCACTCTGCTTCCCAAGAACGGAGAACCTGAGGCACCTACAAAGACTGGCATCCGGTATCCCTCATGAACACCGGCTACGAAATACTGACAGAGGCTCTCTCCCTGCGACTGGAAGGGGTGATTGCACAAGTCGTAAACAGGGACCCAGTCCTACACCATCCCCCGGACGAACCATCCACGACGGCATCTTCCTGGTCAGGGACCTCATCGCGGTGTCCCAGAGGTTGGGAATCCAAATCGCGTTTCTGGCCCTTGACCGGGAAAAGGCTTTTGACAGAGTCGACCACAAATACCTGCTGGGAACCCTCAAGACCTTTGGCTTTGGGGATGCCTTTGTCCGAACGATCCGCCTGCTCTACACCGAGGCGGAGTGCGTGATCAAGATCAACGGCGCCCTCACTGCCCCCGGTCAAATTCGAGCGAGGAGTGAGACAGGGATGCCCTTTGTCGGGCCAACTTAATGCCCTGGCATTAGAGCCTTTCCTGAGTCTCATAAGGCGAGTGAGCGAGTGAGTGAGCGAGTGAGAGCGTGAGTGAGCGAGTGAGAGTGAGTGAGCGAGTGAGAGAGTGAGAGAGTGAGTGAGCAAGTGAGAGAGTGATTGAGAGAGTCAGCAAGTGAGTGAGCGAGTGAGTGAGCGAGAGAGTGAGTGAGCGAGTGAGAGAGTGAGCGAGTGCTGCGCAACTGCCAACCACCGATTCACACCGCTTCCAAACATTAATTCCGTTGATTTTAATTCAAATATTTATAATAATAACGATGAGGACGATGGCGGTGACGATGACGGTGAGGATGACGACGACGGTGATCATGACGGTGATCATGACGATGACGATAGTGACGAACATCAGGCCGCGGCCGTGAGTGACGCGTCAACGTGGCGAGCGCCAGGGTCAGGACAACTCGCCGCAACCACCGCACCGGTTCAACCGCGGCTCCCTAACCGCATCGTCCACACTCACCGCCAACACCGCACCCACCACACTCACCGCCAAAACCGCACCCACCACACTCACCGCCATAACCGCACCCACCACACTCACCGCCATAACCGCACCCACCACACTCACCACCAAAACCGCACCCACCACACTCACCGCCATAACCGCACCCACCACACTCACCGCCATAACCGCACCCACCACACTCACCACCAAAACCGCACCCACCACACTCACCGCCAAAACCGCACCCACCACACTCACCGCCATAACCGCACCCACCACACTCACCGCCATAACTGCACCCACCACACTCACCACCAAAACCGCATCGTCCACACTCACCGCCATAACCACACCCACCACACTCACCGCCATAACCGCACCCACCACACTCACCACCAACACCGCACCGTCAAAACTCACCGCCAATACCGCACCTACCACACTCACCGCCAAAACCGCATCATCCACACTCACCGGCATAACCGCACCCGCCACACTCACCGCAACCACCACACTCACCACACTCACCGCCAAAACCGCACCCACCACACTCACTGTCAAAACCGCACCCACCACACTCACCGCCAAAACCGCACCCACCACACTCACCGCCAAAACCGCACCCACCACACTCACCGCCACTCAGGCCACGCGGGGAGCGGCGGCGATACATTCGGTGCCATGCCCCGCCAGCGAGAGCGATTATCTGAACCGATCCTGGGCCTCCCCTAGGCCGACTCGGCCTCAAATGAGTGTACCTGGTGTACCTGGTGCGGCGGCGGCGGTGGTGCAGTGAACATCTCCGCTTGGGGAGAGACAAAGGCGGCCGGGGCGTGGTGGTGCCGGCCTCACCGCCAGCCCACCTCCGCCGCGGTGCCGGTAGCCTTCATAGGCGGCGCTGCCGCCGGCCGCTTCTAACGGCACTTGCCCCTGCAGCCCTGCTAGGCAGGCTACCCGGGGGACCTTTGCATTCGTCCGCTGTGTGAAATCAAAGCAGAAGCCGAGATGACAGAGGAAGCACCGACTAGCACCACCAGCAGCAGCAGCACCACCAGCAGCAGCAGCATTCTGACAAAGATGATGGTGGTGGTGGCGGCGGCGATGATGACGACGATGACGACGATGTAAGATCGTTAAAAAGCAAAGGAAACACGCCACCAACACCACCACCACCCACCATCGCCATCATCGCCACCACCGTCACAATCACACCACCGCCCCTACCACCACGATATCATCATCATCATCATCACCGCCACGCCATCATCATCATCGCCACACACACACGGCACCACCACACACACACACACCACCACCACCACACACACCACCATCACCACACACACACACCACCATCACCACACACACACGCCACCATCACCACACACACACACACGCCACCATCACCACACACACACACACACCACCATCACCACACACACATACACACCACCATCACCACACACACACACACCATCACCACACACACACACACGCCACCATCACCACACACACACACCACCATCACCACACACACACACACACCACCATCACCACACACACACACCATCACCACACACACACACCACCATCACCACACACACACACACGGCACCTTCACCACACACACACACAGCACCATCACCACACACACACACACGCCACCACCATCACCACACACACACACCACCATCACCACACACACACACACGCCACCACCATCACCACACACACACACCACCATCAACACACACACACACACCACCATCACCACACACGGCACCATCACCACACACACACACACCACCATCACCACACACACACACGGCACCATCACCACCTCCGTGATTGGCAATCGCAGTGAAGTTCTGCGCAGTTCGTGGCAGTGATGGGGAGGGGGGGAGAGGGGAGGGGGGGAGAGGGGAGGGGGGAGAGGGGAGGGGGGTGAGGGGGGACGTGATGGGGGGGGGTGAGGGGGGGGGGGGCGTGATGGGTGGACGGAGAGGGGATGGCCGGTGACTCCGTGCCGCTGCGTCCGACGCCGGCGCCACCTCCCAGGGTCCGCCACTCCGCCCGCTACGCCCGCGGGCGAAAGAAGAGGGAGAAACAACAAACTAACAAACAAGCTAACCAGCTAACAAACTAACTAAAAAACGTACAAACTAACAAACAAGCTAACTAACAAGCTAACAAGCTAAACCAATCGCAAAGCGTCGCCGGCGCTTCCAACCCCCCACGCCGAGAAGGGGCCCGCCGGCGGCGCCGACGCCGACTGCCGGGACGCCGACGGGCGCCCCGCCCTCTACGCCGTGGCGCTGGAGGGCCGCGCCGACGTGGCCCGGCTGCTGCTCGACGCCGGCGCCGACCCCGAGGCGGCCGACGCGGAGGGCCGCACGGCGCTGCACGCGGCCGCGCGCCGGGTCCGGCGCGCGACGTCGGCACGGCGCTGACACCCCCCCACACCCACGGCGCCCCCAACGTCCGTGCCGTCACAGTGACACCGTCAGCGTCACACCGCCAGCGTCACACCGCCAGCGTCACAATGTCACAGCGTCACACCGCCAGCGTCACGGCGTCACGCCATCACAGCGTCACACCGCCAGCGTCACGGCGTCACGCCATCACAGCGTCACACCGTCGCAGTGTCACACCGCCAGCGTCACACCGCCAGCATCACGGCGTCACACCGCCAGCGTCACACCGTCGCAGCGTCACACGGTCAGCGTCACACCGCCAGCGTCACAGCGTCACGGCGTCACACAGTCAGCGTCACCCCGTCAAAGCGGCGTCTCCTTCTTGCGGGCGGCGCCCTCCAGCTGCAGCCTCATCGCCTGCTTGGCGCCCAGCGGCACCGGCTCCACGGCGGGCCGGGGACACGCCGGCAACGTCGGCAACGCCGGCAACGTCGCCGGTGCCGCCGCTAGCTGCTGCTGCTGCTGCTGCGCGCCGTGGTTGAGGCCGTAGTTGGGGTTCGTGACAATGCCGTTGCGTTTCTTCTGCCGCTGCTGCTGCTGCTGCTGCTGCCGTTGCCGTTCTTCGCCCGGCGGTTCCGAGCGCCGCTGGTGCCCGGCTCCCGGCGGCGGCGCCGGCGGCGGAGACGGCGCCGCCGTCGCCGGGTCGCCGCGGCCCGCGACGGCGGCGGTCCCGACGGCGGTCGTCGGCGCGACGAGGAGCAGCCGGCGCCGCGGAGACACCGCCGGCGCCGCGTCCTCGCTGCTCGTCCTGGAGGGCCGCCGGGCGTCGCCGGCGGCGCCGGTGCCGCCCGTGGGCGACGCCGGGTCGCGTCGCCGACGGTGGCGGCGGTCGCCGGCGCCTCGTACCGGACTCTCCGGCGAGGCGCTGCTCCCGCCGGGAGACGCCGGCGTCGCCGCCGGGGCGCCCCGCCGCGCCGCCGCCGGCGCCGGCCACGCCGGCGTCTCCCGGCCCGGCGTGGCCGGCGACGCCAGCGCCGACGAGCCCCGGCTGCTGCCGCCGCTGCGCGGTAGCGAGTGCCGCTGGATCTGCTCGGTGAAGCTGAGCGCCGACGGCGACGGCGGCGGCGGCGGCGCGGCGTAGCCGGCGCAGGCGGCGCCGGCTACGCCGGGCTGGAGGCTGTCGAAGGGCACCGTCTGCGCCGTGGCTGCCGACGACGACGATGAGGAGGTGGCGGTGCGCAGCGACGAGGTCTTGGAGCTCTGCAGGGAGCGGTTCGACGGAGGCGTCGCCGCCGCCGCTGTTGCCGGCGGCGGCGGCGGCGGCAGCGGCCCCCTCTGGCAGGGCCCGCCGCCGGCGCCGAAGGACCGCTGGCGGTCGCCGGTCGAGCCGGGCGACTCCGACGACTCGCTCAGCCGGCGCTGTCGCCGGCGGCAGGCGCCGCCCTCGCCGGCGCTACCGGATCCGGCGGACGTCACCGTGGAACCCGGCGCCTCGCCGCGGGCGTCCGGCGGCCGCCGCCGCTGCCGCCGCCGCTGCTGCTCCTGCTGCTCCTGCGGCGGCGGCGCCCGGCACGCCGCGGACGCTCCCCCCCCCACCACCGGCGCCGAACTCCTCCAGCAGGCGCACGATGTCGGCGTGGCCGCCCCGGGCGGCGACGCGCAGCGGCGTGCGCCCGAAGCGGTCGGCGTGCGCCGGGTCGGCGCCGGCCTCCAGCAGCGCCCTCGCCGCCTCGGCGTGGCCCTCCTGCGCCGCGACGCACAGCGCCGTCGCGCCCTGGTTGCAGGCGCGGTCGGGCCGGGCGCCCCCGGCCAGCAGGGCCCGCACGGCCCCGGCGCGGCCCCCGCCACGCGGCCGACTGCAGCGGCGTCCGCCGCTCGCCGTCCTCCGAGTCGGGGTCGGCGCCGGCCTCGAGCAGGGCCCGCACGGCCCCGACGTGGCCCCGCCACGCGGCCGCGTGCAGCGCCGTGCGGCCCTCCGCGTCGGCCGCCTCGGGGTCGGCGCCGGCGTCGAGCAGCAGCCGGGCCACGTCGGCGCGGCCCTCCAGCGCCACGGCGTAGAGGGCGGGGCGCCCGTCGGCGTCCCGGCAGTCGGCGTCGGCGCCGCCGGCGGGCCCCAGCAGCAGGCGGACGACGCCGGCGTGGCCCTCGCGGGCGGCCGCCAGCAGCGCGTTACGCCCGTCGTAGCCCCGGCGGTCGACGGGCGAGCCCAGCCGCAGGAGGGCCTCCACGCAGCGCTCGTGGCCCTCCTGCGCGGCGAGCACCAGCGGCACGCGGCCGTCGTCGTCCGCCTCGCCGACGCGGGCCCCGTGCCCGGCGAGGGCCTCGCACACCGCCGCCCGGCCCCGCGAACGCCGCGAGGTGCAGCGGCGTCCACCCCGCGTCGTCCCGGTGGCTCTCGTCGAGGCCCCGACGCAGCAGGAGGCCCACGCAGCCCTCGCAGCCGCGGGCCGCCGCCAGGCCCAGGGCCGTGCGGCCGTCGGCGTCCACCGCGTCGGCGGCGGCGCCCCACAGCAGGAGGGCGGCCGCCGCCTCCGGCCGGCCCGCGGCCGCGGCCGCCAGCAGCGGCGTGGCGCCGCGCCGGTCGGCCAGGTCCGGGTCGGCGCCGGCCTCCAGCAGGAGCTCGGCGACGTCGGCGCGGCCCTCCGAGGCGGCCGCCAGCAGCGGCGTGGCGCCGTCGCGGTCGGCCAGGTCCGGGTCGGCGCCCCGCTCCAGGAGGAGCGCCGCCGCGGCCGCGTGGCCGCCGCCCGGCGCGCCGAGGGCCGCCACGGCCAGCGCCGTGCGCCCGTCGGCGTCGCGGTGGTCCACGCGGGCGCCGGCGTCCAGCAGCCGGCGGGCGACGTCGGCGTGGCCCATGTAGGCCGCGGCGATGAGCGGCGTGCGCCCCTCCGCGTCGGGCCGGTCCGCCGCCGCGCCCGCCGCCAGCAGCCGCAGCGCCACGGCCTCGTGGCCGCCCCACGCGGCCGCCCGCAGCGCCGTCCGCCGGCGCCGGTCGGCGCGGTCCACGCGGGCGCCGGCGGCCAGCAGCGCCGACACCGCCTCGCCGTGGCCGCCCCGGGCGGCGGCGCGCAGCGGCGTCCAGCCGTCGCGGTCGGCGTGGTCGGGGTCGGCGCCCCGCGCCAGGAGCAGGGCGACCGCGCGGGCGTGGCCCTGCCGCGCCGCCAGGTTCAGCGGCGCGCGCCCGTCGGCGTCCTCCGCCTCCGGGTCGGCGCCCCGCGCCAGCAGGAGGGCGGCCGCTTCGGCGTCGCCGGCGCGCGCCGCGCGGGCCAGCGGCGTGCGGCCCTCGGCGTCCGCCCGGTCCACGTCGTCGGCGGCGGCGGCGGCCGCGGCCGCGGCGTCGTCCCCCGCCGGGTCCCCGCCGAGGCCGCCGGCGGCCGCCAGCAGCCGCAGCGTGTTCTCGTCGTACCCGCCGCCGCCGCCGCCGCCGCCGCCGGCCTCGGCGTGCCTCAGCGCCGCGCCCACCGGCGCTCCGCTCCACGCCAGCCACAGCGCCAGGTGGTGCGCGCGGAGCCCCAGGCCGGCGCGCGCCAGGTGGTGCGCCAGGTCCAGCGTCCGCGCCGGCGAGAGGCGGCGACCGCGCAGCGCCAGGCTGGCGGCGAGCATGGCGTGACCCTCGGCGGCGCTGCACAGGAACTTCTGGGTGCAGTGCTTCACGTCGAGCAGCCACTCGGCGAAGCTGCGGTGGAAGAGGATCTTGCCGGCGCCGGCGTCCGCCAGCACCCTGCCGAGCGCCGGCAGCGTCCGCCGGGCGAACTCGTCCCGGGTGAGCGCCGCGTTGCGCGTCCGCACGGCGCCGTAGATCTCGTCCTCGGCGATCGGCCCGCCGGCGGCCAGCACGGCGTTGAGCGCCGGCTGGACGCGCCCGAACTGCTTGCGGGCGAACAGCCGCTGGCACAGCCACAGGTAGAGGCCGTTGAGGGTGCCGGGGATGCCGCGGACGTCGGCGAGGGCGACGAGCCCGCCGGCGGCCCCGTCCAGCGCCCGCTCCAGGTACAGGATGCAGCCGTTGCTCTTGATGTGCAGCTGGTTGAGCACGTCGGCCGTGTCGGGCGTCAGCTGCCGCCGGAGGGCCTCCTCGCGGTCGAGGCGGCACAGGATGTAGCGCTGCACGTCCTTCACCACGCACGCCTTGCGCAGGTCGTCCAGGCAGAGGCGGCGGAAGCCTGCTTGCGGCGGCGGGCGTGGCGGCGGCGGGGTTGGTTTGGTGGTGGTGGTGGGTGTGGTGGAGGTGGTGGGTTGGTTTGGTGGTGGTGGTGGTGGGTGTGGTGGTGGGTGTAGTTGTTGTGGTGGTGGTGGTGGGTGTGGTGGTGGTGGTGGTGGGTTGGTTTGGTGGTGGTGGTGGGTGTGGTGGTGGGTGTAGTTGTTGTGGTGTAGTGGGCGTGGTGGCGGTGGAAGTGGTGGGTGTGGTGGAGGTGGTGGTCGTGGTGGGTGTGGTTGTTGTGGTGGTGGGATGCACCGGCACACTGGTTAATGCCACAGGTGACACCGCATCCGGCACCGGCGGCACCGCAGCAGGCACCACCGACATCACACCCGGCACCGGTGACACTGCAGCCGGCACCGGTGACATCGCTGCCGGTGACACCAACACCGCCACCGGTGTGGAAATTACAGGTGCATCGAGACCCATGGAGATGCATAGAGAGCAACATACATACAACACACACACACATGTACAACATACACATATGTAGAGGTGCTAACTACTCACTGTTCAGTAACCTGCATTGCCACCAGGTATCAAGGGGGCAGTGCAGCGTTACCTGTGTAGTGTATAGTGTAGTGTATAGTGTAGTGTATAGTGTAGTGTATAGTGTAGTGTATAGTGTAGTGTATAGTAGTGTAGTGTATAGTGTAGTGTATAGTTGTGTAGTGTATAATGTAGTGTATAGTGTAGTGTATAGTAGTGTAGTGTATAGTATAGTGTATAGTATAGTGTATAGTGTAGTGTATAGTGTAGTGTATAGTGTTGTGTATAGTGTAGTGTATAGTGTAGTGTATAGTAGTGTAGTGTATAGTGTAGTATATAGTTGTGAAGTGTATAGTGTAGTGTACAGTAGTGTATAGTGTAGTGTATAGTGTAGTGTATAGTGTAGTGTATAGTGTAGTGTATAGTAGTGTAGTGTATAGTGTAGTATATAGTTGTGTAGTGTATAGTGTAGTGTATAGTAGTGTATAGTGTAGTATATGGTGTATAGTAGTGTATAGTGTAGGGGCAGTGCAGCGTTACCTCTCTGTGTGTGAATAACGATTGGGGTCAGACATGGTCAAGTGGATCGTAGCCACGGTTTGGTAAGAACCAATCAGACAGTGCCACGTGTTAGTGTGTGATTGGTTACACCTGGCCACAAACGGGTATAAGAAGGGTGAGCGCGCAGAGCGCGGCGAGGAGTTCTCTCTCTGCACGAAGACAGAAGCCCGGGCTGAAGATAGCCAGGACCCTGGACCCAGCCTCCCACCCCTTCTGAAGGCTAATGCTCGGCCTAACCAGAGGTCAAGACCCGCCGGGCCAGCGGTGGGTCAAATAGACTCCCCTAGGTCCCAGCCGGAGGACTCTGGGATAGCGGTGGACGTGTGAGTAAGTCCCGCCAAGATAGGACGCTGTACCTCCTTAGGTTAGGAAGAGACCTGTGTGTAGGTCACACTAAGTCTGGAGGCTGTACCTCCTTAGGTATCAAGAGAGCTGTGTGTAGGTCACGCTAAGTCTGGAGACTGTGCCTCCTTAGGTTAGAAAGAGAGCTGTGTGTAGGTCACGCTAAGTCTGGAGACTGTGCCTCCTTAGGTTAGCAAGAGAGCTGTGTGTAGGTCACGCTAAGTCCGGAGGCTGTACCTCCTTAGGTATCAAGAGACCTGTGTGTAGGTCACGCTAAGTCCGGAGGCTGTACCTCCTTAGGTTAGCAAGGGAGCTGTGTGTAGGTCACGCTAAGTCTGGAGACTGTGCCTCCTTAGGTTAGCAAGAGAGCTGTGTGTAGGTCACGCTAAGTCCGGAGGCTGTACCTCCTTAGGTATCAAGAGACCTGTGTGTAGGTCACGCTAAGTCCGGAGGCTGTACCTCCTTAGGTTAGCAAGGGAGCTGTGTGTAGGTCACGCTAAGTCTGGAGGCTGTACCTCCTTAGGTTAACAAGAGACCTGTGTGTAGGTCACGCTAAGTCCGGAGGCTGTACCTCCTTAGGTTAGCAAGAGAGCTGTGTGTAGGTCACGCTAAGTCTGGAGGCTGTACCTCCTTAGGTTAGCAAGGGAGCTGTGTGTAGGTCACGCTAAGTCCGGAGGCTGTACCTCCTTAGGTATCACGAGACCTGTGTGTAGGTCACGTTAAGTCCGGAGGCTGTGCCTCCTTAGGTATCAAGAGACCTGTGTGTAGGTCACGCTAAGTCCGGAGGCTGTACCTCCTTAGGTTAGGAAGAGACCTGTGTGTAGGTCACGCTAAGTCCAGAGGCTGTACTTTCTTAGGGTATCGGGTGAGGGGACCGTATACCCCTCTGTGTGTTAGCAACTGTGTAAGAGAGTGTGCCTCATAAGAAGTGTATTCGTCGTCATTATAAAACTACACGTACAACGCACGTACAAAAAAGCATACATGCCACTGTAGTGACTGTACTTGTCACTATGCGGTGCCAGGACTTGCAAAGTCACGGCCGGCAATGTTGTCATGACGGGCAGCCCGGGTTGCGGGCTGCCCGTAATGACTCTAGTGGTGGTCGGGTGAGCCCTGGTCAGCGCGGTGGCACCTCACGATACTGGAGGGGGGAAGACCGGTGGGCAGGGCTGAGGGGGCGGTCACATGGTTCCTAGGGGCTCTAGGGAACATTCGAGAAGGAGCCTGGAAGGTGGGCAGGGCTGAGGGGTGGTCACATGGTTCCTAGGGGCTCTCGGGAACATTCGAGGAGGAGGAACCTGGCAGGTGGGCGGGGCTGAGGGGTGGTCACATGGTTCTGAGGGGCTCTAGGGAACATTCGAGGAGGAGCCTGGAAGGTAGGCGGGGCCGAGGGGTGGTCACATGGTTCTGAGGGGCTCTAGGGGAACATTCAAGGAGGAGCCTGGCAGGTGGGCGGGGCTGAGAGGTGGTCACATGGTTCCGAGGGGCTCTAGGGAACATTTGAGGAGGAGGAGCCTGGAAGGTGGGCGGGGCCGAGGGGTGGTCACATGGTTCCGAGGGGCTCTCGGGAACATTCGAGAAGGAGGAGCCTGGAAGGTGGGCGGGGCCGCGGGGGCGGTCACATGGTTCCGAGGGGCTCTCGGGAACATTCAAGAAGGAGGAGCCTGGCAGGTGGGCGGGGCTGAGGGGTGGTCACATGGTTCCGAGGGGCTCTATGGAACATTCAAGAAGAAGGAGCCTGGCAGGTGGGCGTGGCTGAGGGGTGGTCACATGGTTCCGAGGGGCTCTACGGAACATTCAAGAAGGAGCTCCAGGAGTCTGGCAGTTGGGCGGAGCCAGCCGCAGCCCGGGAGCAGTGCAACGACAGCTCAGCGAGGGGCCCCGTGGGTTCTTCTTCAAGTGTCGGCGTTGGAAGATCCACGGCGGGGGAGAAGAAGCCTCCGGCCGCGCGGTACCGGGACCCGGGCTCGTGGCCCGGACCGGGACAGCGCGAACCGCGTCGAGTTCTGCCGTGGCGTGGCGAGGCGGGCGCTCGAGACCCGAGCGTAGTTTCGTCGTTACGTCACGTGCCGTCGCGCGAATCAACGGTGTTTCCTCCCGAGATAGCGTCCGCGACTCGGTTGGACTCGCCCCGCAACATACGTACATACAACATGGATACGTATAGCACGTGCGTACACACGTACGCACGTTTTAGCACGTCCGGCTTTCGCGACCAACATCATTCATGATAAACGTAGTTTTTGGGTTGGATCGCGTTATTTATAAATGTGTCGTAACCCACCACCGCCGCCGGACACGGCCAATCAGCAAAAAAAAAAGCGTCCCGTTGACAAAAGACAAAGTATCTTCTTTGGTTCTTTCGGTAAAGTCACGTATAAATGAGAATAAAATAATTAATAAATAAAACAACGCAATTAAATTCTCACGACGTTTCGGCCACAACACAAGTGGCCTTTCTTCAGGCGAGCTTAGCTCTGTCGTCCCGACAGGTCTGTTCCTTTCACCTGAAGAAGGCCGCTTGTGCTGTGGCCAAAACGTCGTGAGAATTTTATTGTGTTATTTCATTTTATTAATTTATGATTTTATCCTCATTCTACGCGACTTTACCGAAAGAGCCAAAGAAGATGAATCCTTGCAGTCACGAAAGCTTTTAATCGAAAAGACCAAGTAGTTCACTACTTTGGCCCCACACACCGGTGTGTTGAAGAGTGAATCCACAACATTCAACACACCGGTGGGCTAAAGTAGTGAACTATTTTGTCTTCTGTCAACGTGACACTTTTTTTTGCTGAATGGCCGTGTCGGGCAGTGGAGGGTTACAACGCATTTATAAATAACGCGATCCAACCCAAAAAAAACCTTTATTACGGACGTACGCACGCACAATACGTACAGTGACATTTCGAAATGTGCCGAGTGTCACCGGGAAAACGTGTGGGCCCATTTGTGTCACGCATTCGCATAAAAATCCCTGGTCGCAGAGGCAAAAGCTTGCGGGTAACAATAATAACAATCATAGCCACGTCCTGTACTTTTGAGGCATAAGCAATGAGGAAATACAACTTAGTACCCATGGACCAAAAAATCGTGTTACACAGCGTTATAGGCGGCTCAGAAGTAGCAGTCCCTCTACCCCCCCCCTTCTAACTCTCCCATTCTCTCTTTATTTTTACGATCAGAGGAATCAAGACGATGCTCGGTGTAGTCGGCACTTTGCTCCATTCATCATTTGGGTTTTTTTAAATGCTTCGTTTTATGTTAACCCTCCCCCACCCCCGCCCTTTTTAAATGAAATATTTAACAAAAGATTTCTCGCTCTGCTCTCTCTACCCCCTCTCTCTCTCTCTACCCCCTCTCTCTCTCTACCCCCTCTCTCTCTCTACCCCCTCTCTCTCTACCCCCTCTCTCTCTCTACCCCCCCCCCCTCTCTCTCTCTATCCCCCCTCTTTCTCTTACCCCCCCTCTCTCTCTACCCTTCTCTTTCTCTCTACCCCCTCTCTCTCTACCCCCTCTCTCTCTACCCCCCCCCTCTCTCTCTACCCCCCCCTCTCTCTCTTGCCCACC